GGTTGGATGTATGTCGTGGTTGTATATATTGTAATTGGGTGTAAACAATTTTATTTCATTTAATTTTCTATTATTAATAATTCGAATTGAAAATTTGTTTAACAATTAACAAATAACAATATCAATTGAAAATTTTAGTAAATTAATGTAAAAATATGAACAAATCGTTAAATGTAAATTAATGTAAATTTTAGTAAATTTTAGTAAATTTATGTAAATTAATGTAAATTAACGGCAAATTGTGAACATAACAAATCGCACAAAATCCGTTGACATCTATTTATAATATCCGTACTATTTTTTGAAATGAGAGATGAATTCATTAATTAATCAAATTAATCAAATTATATAATTACGCGTGGAGCCCATTATTTTTACTTAAATTAGTAAGTCAAAACATTATTTTTCAAATCAACCTTACTATTTTTGTATTTTTCCAACAACCTCTTTATATTACTATAGATATTATCTATTATATTTATTTATTAAATATTTTTATTTATTAAGTAACTATTTTATTATTATATTATTTATTTTATTTATATATTATTTATATATAATTATTTATTATACTTTAATTATTAAATTATTTAATATATTTATTTATTTTATTATTTAATATAAATATTAACTTAGCAAATATTTATTTAATATAAAAATAAATTGGAATTAGTTATTATTTATTTAATACATTAGTTTATTATCAACATCCTTTAATTGTTATTTCGTTATTTATAATATTAATTATTTTATATATAATATAAAATATATTATTTAATACATTTATTTATTTAAGTATGAAATATAATTTTTAATATATATATATATTCTTTTAAATATAGTAATATGAAATCGTATTATTTATTTTGTAGCTATTTATTTAATATATAAAAAATTAATTAAATTTTAATAATATAAATTGGTATAAAAAACAACATTGATGATAACAAAAATTTAAATAAATAAGGTAATTAAATATAAAATATAATATTATTTATTTATTTATTCAGTTTACATATTTTAATATCATAAGTAATACATATTTAATAAAATAATTATGTATTATTTTTATAATTAAAAGTATTATAAATTGAACATATATATAACTTATTTTATAAAATATTCTTAATTGATATATAAGTGAAGTTAAGAATTTTCCATAAGTTTTCATAGTCAAGTGGACCGTAAGCCCATTTTGAAGCCTCAACATCTCAGGTTCAAAACCCCTTGTCTTCACTTTTCCATTTTTTTTTAAACATGCCACCTAATTATACATATACGTCTCAACCAAAAAAAAA